GCAGTCTCAGTGCCTTGTGTTGAAAGGTGCTATATAAATAAACTTGCCTTGCCTTGCCTCTATTTAACAGCTGAAATCTGTGGCCCACCTGCCCTGGAAAGCCTTCATGTACAAGGTGAGAATCAACTCCATTTAGTTACTCTATTAGTGTTGATTAACAAGTATGAATGTATTGACAGTCTGGAATTATAGATTTGCTGTTATATTATAAATATTGAATGATAAATCACCACATTCCCATCTCCCACCTTGTTCTGTCACAGATGGTATGAAACAGATTCTGAATTATGTTTGATGTAAAAAAAATTATTGTTTATTTAAAGCTACACTCACTATATATATATATATTAGCATCTATTCTGTATTAATTGATTGATTTATCTTTTCCAGGCATTCAACACTTTCATCGACGATGTGTTTGCCTTCATCATCACCATGCCAACGTCCCACAGACTGGCCTGTTTCAGAGATGACGTGGTGTTTCTCATCTACCTCTACCAGAGATGGTACGTACAAACACACAAACACAAAACCCAGAGACAGAATTATTTTACGGAATAACCAACAAAACACAACCAAACCTTTTCTGACCTATAACTCTGTTTCCTCTCCCCAGGCTCTACCCAGTGGACAAAACGAGAGTAAATGAATATGGAGTTTCTTACGACAAAGAACCCAAAAAAGAAAAGACTCACGAGGACTAGTGAGGAGAGACACTTGGATTCCATGATCTCAGTCCAATGGTATCCACGGATTGGTAATGGTCATTGGGTATAAACTGAGCTCCAGGTGAAGAGGCACCTGGAAAAGTGTTTATGATCCAGATCAGTTCATCGTAAATGGACCAGCTGCGACACCAATCCTATGGTTTTTGACTTTTTCATTCCGTCCCATAGTGCAACATTTTGAAGGGTCAACATCTGCTTATCCGCCCTTTGCAGTCTGGAAAGGATTATTTTTTACAGCGAGTGATGGGACAGGGAAATCAATAAACCTCTAACCATTTCACTGACGCAACAAATCTAGGAACAACGTGATTGGTCTGTTTGCACCAATATGACCATCTGTTCCTCAGGTCAGACACTGCTCAGCTTTGTTATGAAAGAGTACACTGATGACTATAGCAGCTCTCCTATAGTAGATATATCTTGCTTTCTCTGCCATAAGGTCTACTTTTTAGTTTTCCACCAAGCCAGTCACATTCCTTGTCTATTGGAGCAGCTCTATACTGTTGACATCACTGGAGGTCTTTTTTTACTTACAGTAATTTACAGCTTTGCATGTCAGCAAATAGTCATTTGGTTGTATGATATTACATTGGGCTCCCACTTTAAGCAAAAACCACTTCTTAAGGGCCACTTTAGATATTGAGTTTCCAAATTTTAATTGCAATGTCAAAAAGTGATGATTAGAATTTGAAAACCTTTTTTTTAAGTTGTATATGGCTCTATTGTTAGCTCAGTTAATTGTTTCAAAAGCAGCATTTAAATGAGAAATTATATAAAGTGGAGCTAATTATTTTTGTTAAAAGGATGTGAACAATTTGCCAATTAAAAATGATGAATGTGTAGCCATTTAAATTATTTATCATCAATTATTATGAAGACAAACCCAACATGTTTAAACCCTGGGACAATTTGTCATCTTAAAAGTGAGAATATGCATCAATGAAATGTTTAAGGTAACATAAAGTTAGTTACAAATTGAAAATGCATCATTCTAACTTTTAAGATATTTACTTATGTACTTTCTCACAAGAGTTCATTCATTCAATGGTCATCGTCTTAAAACAACCGTCTCCTGTCTCTCCTGATCTGGCCACACACTAAATGATGCTGACATTTTTTAACTATGACACAGTGGGGTAACGTCGATAGCCATACGGTCATTTCCACCCACTACCGTTTGTGGTTTGGTTTTACCTTCTCAAGTATTTTTTACATATCAGGGCCAAGAAAATATGTTGGTGCCAAACTTTTTGAACTTTGAATGTTCACCATAAAGGGTCCATCTGCCGTTTTTAAATAGAAACTAACATTGTGAGATTAACGGTTTATGGTAAGACTTGAGGAAAGTATTACTACAAGTTGATATACAGTTGCATTTAGATTTTTCTGCTATAATTCTAATGTTCTTCTTTTTTTTTTCAAAATGTGTCTCTGTTTTATTTTGATATAAAGATTCATGGATACATTTGGTCTGTGCGTAAATAACTAGCCCAGGGTTTCTTTTCCTTTGTGGGCTGAGAGAGATTTGCTATAAAACTACCTTGAAATGGTTTTACTTATTGTAATGTTTATGTTTTTGATTGTGATTAAATAAAACTGTTGACTGACCATGCTGTGATCATTGGAGTTAAAACCCACAGACCGATTTATGTAACATCATAAAGATGAAATACACAATAAATACGTATACAATTCATTATTAATTGTATGACATGTATGTAAGCTGTCCTTTGAATCTATTATAACACATAGCATATACATATAAATAATAAATGAATGGTGCTTAATGTGGAAAGGCTTCAAATGTATATCATTTTCTTCAATTAAATAGAAACATATCAATTGGGAAATATTTGTATGTAAAATGTAATAAAAACAACATTTCAATTTAACATATTGATTTATTTTATATTTCTTAATTTTCAAGTATTTGTATATTTTTCTATTGAGGCTTTTCTTTCGTTGTTTCATTTACTAATTAATTGAGCTATTCATTTATTTGCTGTCATGGCGCCTTTAGATCTGCATTTAACAAACTCAATTATTGTTCAAACTCCACAGTACAAAACAAAAAGTGAGAGCTTTTGAAATTGCATCGACGCAAGACGTCTGTCGTCACTGTGTGTGCGTGCTGACGTCAGAGCCACGCAGCCTCGACGCAGAGTATATCAAGCTAGCTCCCGCCCTCTCACGTCCCTTTTCCACTACAGGAAGTCAACGTGCCTAAGGTGCTCGGTTCTTCACCAGAAGCTAAGGCCCGAAATCCGGCGACTAGCACCCTCACATTTAGGCATCCACTTCCAAAAATACCAAATCTAGCATCTACAATGGCATCCGTATCTGAGCTCGCTTGCATTTACTCTGCTCTGATCCTCCACGACGATGAAGTCACCGTCACCGTAAGTGTCCCGGCTTAACCCCGGTCCGCCAAAACCTAAACCACACATTCTAGGGTATTATGCGAACTGTGAAAGACCTAAATCATAAAGCTGACACATTTAAAAGCTATTCTGATAAACTGTGATGTTGGTGTGTTTGTTAAAAATGTGAGTTTAGGTATTTAGATATCAAAACGGTACCCTCTTGCGATAAAAATGGCGGCATGGTTGTTGCTAGGCCACGTTTCTGTGTTGGAACAGCTCTTAGTGTTTTGTGCTATTCATTAACTAACTTTGTAGCTTATGTTTTATTTGTTATTGATACATGTCTTCCACTTCTTAAAACAGGTGTAGGTCTAGATAATGTCCTTCGCTCAAATGACAGGTGCTGTCTAAAGTCGGTGCTAAGCTAGTTTAACTCCACATCAGCACAACATGCTTTGAAGTATCACCTTAAGTGAGTCAGTTAACGTTTGTCTAGAAACATTAACTTGTGATTAGTGTTGTTTTTTTACAACTCTACTCTTGGTTATCTTTTATGCTGGCGGTTGTGCTACACGTGGATGCTGAACAACATCCTTCTAACTTTAAAACTTCTGAACAAATGATGACACAGCACATCATTATCCCTCTTCATTTCACAAAACAATATTGCCAGTACATACAAGATGGCTTTGGCAAATAAATGAGATTCACTTACTAAAACTTGACTTGCTGCTTATGTGATGAGAGTCTTTCGTTTATGAAGTGCACACCACTTTTTTTAAAGGGTGAAAGAAGTTTATTTGTTAACAACCATTGTTTCTGTGTCTATAGGAGGACAAGCTGAATGCCCTGATCAAGGCTGCTGGAGTCACAGTGGAGCCTTTCTGGCCAAGTCTGTTTGCCAAGGTGAGAGAACCACACTTAATAAGAGTGATGCGAATGCAGGGTTTAAAGCAGCGGGATGGGTTAAGTTCTGTTTTTACTAATGGTGTCCTTGCTGCTTATCAACAATGAAATAATAGACTCTTAGCTGTACTGCTTCCTTATGCAGTCACATTTGTTACCACAAGTAAAAGCTGATTTTAATTTGGAAAATAAGTCTTGTTTTTTCATTTAAAAAAATGTTTGGCTCAGATGGTTACCACTGAAAGACAATGTTTACAAGATAAGTGGTTACTAGAAATGCATGACATCCTGAACGTCTTTATAGAATATATATATTGTTCGACATTTAATTGATGAATGAGATCTAGTTATGAAGACGTTGTTGGATAAATGATCACTAGAGTTGGATTATAATGTAATGCACTGGTATTAGATGATGATAATAATCTAGTTTAAGGACTATGTAGTAAATTAATTTAATGTGTGCCAAGAGTCGTACAGAACACACCTAGTTATCTTTAGTTGTGGAAGTCTGACCTGTGATTGTGTTTGTTCTTAGGCTCTGTCCAGCATCGACATCGGCAGCCTGATCTGCAACGTTGGAGCCGGAGGTGGAGCTCCCGCTGCTGGAGGAGCACCTGCTGCCGGAGGAGCACCTGCTGCTGAAGCCCCAGGTAACCAGACAAACAGTGGATTCAATTGGAAAGCTGGTTTTAGTTGTGCTCCACCAAACAATTATTTTTAGAACTGATTTCTGTGTTTATTGCATATTTTCAATTTTTTTAAATTCATCTGATCTTATATTTTCAGTATCCTGAAAATCAAGCTATAGTTGCCTTAAATTCTCCAGACATGAAACCTTTTGTGATATAGCAAGACTTAACTGGGGTGTACCTCGTGGTGTTGTGTATTATTATATTCCAATGCTGTACTTGTAAGCTGAAGGCAAGTGCAGCGCTGGCTTTTGAGGTGTAGACTTGTGGTATTGTTAGTTTGACTGAGTTTGTGTACTATGGCTTTTCTGAACTCAAACTGGTCTGGTTAAGGTATTGCTTAAATTTAAATTCAGAAGAAAAACATTTGAGTCTTTCAGATAAATCATCCAAGCTAAATTGCCAGCTTACTTTGCACTTTTAGGGTAATTGTGCAAAGCCAATCTCTACAAATGGTAATTGGGCACCTTGCATTTTTGTACTTTGTTAACGTATTCTTTATTTTCTACCCTTACAGCCAAGGAGGAGGAGAAGAAGGAAGAGTCTGAGGCCGAGGGATCCGATGATGACATGGGCTTCGGTCTCTTTGATTAAAATGTTTTTGTAATAAAAAAAACAGTAATACAAAAATAGCTGCTGCCTATCTGACTCTATTTGTCCTTCTCCATAATAGCTTGAGACAGATGCAAATAATTCATGTCAATGCCAAAAACATTAATTCTGACATGGGAGAGCTGCAATAGATAAAGGAAAGGTTTCTTTTATATACACATTGCAGTATTTTATTAACGCATTTGTGAAGGGAAATGTCTGTAAAGAAACTATGGACTAGGATGTAATCTGCTGTGACAAGAGCGTAATGATGTGAAGCAGACAGCTGCCACTTCAACCAGCATGATAACACATCTGTTTTCTTAATTTTGTGAGTCTTGAATGGTGTGTACACATTTACAGACCTTTTTTTACACCTGAATGCAAACGAGTAAAATTAACTTATTAAAAGTGGAGAACGTTTGCAAGGAGAAATGTATACATGAGAATGCTTTACAGGCTGCATAAAACGTTGCACTGAAATTCAATGGGTTAATTGATAGTATATTCAAAAATGTGTTCGTTCAGATAAAGGTTCAGGCTCCAATTGTATTGAACATTTTGACAGGACAAAGTTGAACTTCTAGTCAGTTGCTAACCCCCACAGATGGGTTTCAAAAGTTTACCGAAAGCCTTTTCTACAATGAACCATGCGCCTTTGCTTTTGTTATGTACTGTTTAGTTTGTTCGTTTATTAATTGAACTGAGTCCCCTGTCACAAGCGACACCTTGTGGTGAGAGTTTGAATCTAACATTATACTACTTATTCATGTATAGCCTTTTGTAAAGTAAATACATTTTTAAACTGTTGACCTGCTAACCGATTAACCCAATTGAGCTTTTGGACGATGTTTGAGAATTAAGGACAGTTAGGCATCACGTTTCTTTTTTTCAATTAGTGCCATATCAGAACGTTAAGGACCAGTTTCCGTACGGTAGCGGTTATCATTTTCACCGGGGAAAGGTCCCCGGTTCGAAACCGGTTACTGATAAACACTAAATAAAACAAAGGCAAAAAGTGACCTAATATGACTAGGGAGTTCTTTCCACTTTCCTTTAACTCGTCTGTTAGCACATGTATTAACGGCTAAGTGATGGGGCCAGATGACATTTCCAATGTGAAACAGAACACTCAAAAATATTTCCCAACGGTGTTCACTTTAAATTGAATAAGTTACCAGGATCCAGAGCAGCAGGTTGAACCTGTTGGGTGAAGATCGTGCTCCCATCATGTCTTCAAATAAACACTCGTTCTGGATAAGCAAGCACTGTTTTCTTTATCTGTAGCTAATGTTGGTGGTTGTGGTGGTTTGTTACTGGACTTCTGTGCTAGTCATGGATTGGCCATAACAAACACCATGTTCGAACATAAGGATGCTCATAAGTGTACGTGGTACCAGAGCACCCTAGGCAGAAGGTCCATGATCGATTTTGTTATCGTATCATCGGACCTGAGGCCGTATGTTTTGGACACTCGGGTAAAGAGAGGGGCGGAGTTGTCAACTGATCACCATCTGGTGGTGAGTTGGGTCGAGTGGCGGGGGAAGCCTCTGGATAGACCTGGTAAGCCCAAACGTGTAGTTCGGGTGAACTGGGAACGTCTGGAGGAGGCCCAAGTTCAGGAGGCCTTCAACTCACACCTCCGGCGGAGCTTTTCGAAAACTGTCCGACACCTCAGGAGGGGGAAGCAGGGAACCATCCAAGCTGTGTACAGCAAGGATGGGACGTTGTTGACCTCAACTGATGGAGTGTTAGGGCGTTGGAAGGAGCACTTTGAGGAACTCCTGAACCCGACAACTCCGCCCTCTATGTTAGAGGCAGAGCTGGAGTATGACTGGGGATCGACACCATCTCCGGGGGGGGTTCCTGAGGTCGTCAAACACTTCACAGTGGCAGCCCCGGGGGTGGATGGAATCGCGGCCAGAAAATGCTGAAAGGCTCTGGGTGTTGAGGGACTGTCATGGTTGATCACGTCTCATAACGTGCCGGGAAGTCCGGACAGTCGAACAGGAGTGGGACAGACGGGAGTGTGGTTTCCCTTTTTAAAAGGGGGATAGAGGGTGTGTGCCAATTACAGAGGCATTCACTTACTCAGCTCCCGGGAAAGTTTCTCTAAGGTACTCGAAAAAGGAGGTCAGGCGATTGTCGACCTGGTTGAGGAGGACACAATGCGGGAATTCCGTCCTGTCGTGGAACGCACGGATCGCTTTTTTACTCTGCAAGATCCTGGAGGGGGCCTGGGAGTCGCTCTCCAGTCAGTTACATGTGTTTTGTAGATTGGGAAGGCGTCAATGACGGGTTCCCTCCAAGGGAGTCACTGTGACGGTCGCTGCGGGGAGTTATGGGGTGGGGCATCGTTCTTTAACTCAGGGCCTCCGCTTGTACTCCCAAAGCGGGAGCCTGATGTCCGCGGGCCTCGGCAGTAAGTCGGACCCATTTCAGGTAGGGCTTGGCTCCGCAAAGTCTGCGCTTTGTCTCGCGTGCCCATACCGATCCTGTTTAATATCATGTATCGGATTCGAGGCGTTTCGGTTCGTGGGGGAAGGTCTGCGGTTGGTGGCAACTAAGGATTGCCCTGCTTTTTGCAGATGATGTGGTCTCTGATGTCTTCATCGGTCTGCGATTCAGCAACTCACTGGATCGGGTTCGCAACCCGAGTGTGAGCGGCTGGGATGAGGATCAGCACCTCAATTCCGCTGGAGCCATGGATTTCTCAGCGGGAAAGCCAGATGGAACGTCCTCCCAAAGTGGGAAGGTCCTTACCCAAGGAGGTTCCGTTCTCGGGTTTGGTTCTCGAGTGGGACAAATGGAGCTGGATGGGGTGGAGATGAGAGCGGAGCCGGTATGGTTCTTTATCGGCCCACCGTACCGCACACTGTTGTGACGAAACGGAGAGCTGAGAGGCCAGCTTCGTGTTATACGCGCCATTTATGTTCGATCCTCTATGGTCAAATGAGGAATGGGTATTTCTTCTTTCCCCTTCGTTGTTGTTGGTTGGTTCCAGTGTGTGTTGGAGAGGGCGTCTGTATAACGAAGTGCGCATGATTATTGTTCCAGCTAGGGTGGTATGTTCAAAGTTCTAGCGCGAGCTCGATGCTCGTTTCTCCAAAATTACATGTTGTATTTTGTAATGTTGTCGTTTCTATCGAGGGTGCCTAGCAGAATCTCATTATTTCCAGCTTAATTCCTGTCGCTGCCTTGTGCATCGTGTAGATAGAGTGCGTCATGATCCATCAATATTCAATGCTCTACGCTGCTTATCGAATGATTCAAACATCTGGGAGATTGCGGGTTACTGTTACTGATACATCGGACGCAAGATGTCCACGCCTCGCATCAATTGAACCACTACTGCTCCTCTCTGATTGCCAGGCGTTAACTACAGCGAATCAATGTTGAATTTGAACAAACCTAAATTGGAGATAGGCTGATGCTCCTACGCTTCGTTACGTGATGGACCCTTAACGTTGTGCATATTTATGTAGAGAATGTGCACTTGAATCTAACTCAAGAGTGTTGTGCCCACCCTCGTCTGCCGATAGTGTTCGTTGCGGGGTAGAGTGGCCTGCTGATGTAGATCAGCTGTGCTCGAGCTGTGCCTGAGGCTGGTGTCATCTCTGCTTCTATTTGCAAGGTGTGATACTTGTCAAGATCGTTTGAGTGTTTGCCAGCTAGAGCACCGATCCCGGATCTGGCAGCGCCACTGCACCGCACCCCTGGGGGGGAATTACGGGGACTCGGGGCATGGAAATCATCTCTACAATGGGGTGGATTGGCAGTGTGTGTGGTTTGTCGACCCGAATGACGACCCTCCAACGACTCGCTCGATGCGGGTAGTAGGCTGTCTCGTTATGTTGAGCTGGTTGTAGAGGGAGCACGCCTTGTGGATCGCGGAGGTCCTCCCTTCATCTACATTCGCGCGCGCTCGCGCTCTCTCCGCATCAGTGCAGCCCCGTGTAGCGACCATTCGCTTCACTCTCGCGTTCTGCGTACAAGATCTTGCAGACAATAGGGAACAAACGACCTGCATGAGCGTGTGGGATGCCCGTCGTAGAGCTGCACCATTGCCATGAGGCACACCTCCCCCATACTTCCTCCAACAAGCCCTCCCCCAAGGCCAAAGTGGGCGGCTTAGCCCCACTAATCCCTTATTGACTGCCTCTTGCTTTGTCTGCCAATTCCCAGCATTGGATTTGTACCACTCGATGATGCGCTCTTGACTCCCTTCTCCCACATTAATCCGTACTGTTATTACTTTTCAATACCAATGCTTAATTTCCCCCCCCCTCCTACCCCAACTATCTATTTCAACCGCACCCCTGGACATTGCCACACATCCCCGTTTTGGACGTTCAATCAAACCAACGGCAAATTAGAACAAATGATTAAAGCCTTGATGACAGGCCAAGTGGATGGCCTTGGGTGGTGGAGCACAGGATGGTAATTCCTATCCTTGCGTAGCTACCAATCAAGTGAACTCGCCTGGGGCGGCAATGACGCTGACGTGTAGACAGAATGCAATGTCTTGTCTTATAAAGTAGTCTTGAGGGAACGGCACACTGATGGCAACATGAGGAGACCATCCTCACTATGCGTGTCTGGGTTGGTAGATGTAGCTGTGCAGTTAGCAATGTCTGATCCAACGAGCTCTCTGCCCTTCTTCTGCTTAGGTCGCAGTATGTTGCGGAGAGTAAGTAGTTCCGTGTGTGCGTGTCCTTCTAATGTAAGCTCAGGAGATCAGCAATTAGTGTTTGCGTGAGAGTGTTGAGGCCTCGTGACCATAAGCGGCCATACGATCCAACTACTTTTCGTACTCTCATTGTAGAAAGATAAACTTTTCTGAGCGCCACTGGATGAAGTAGAATGTCTAGCAACAAAGTAATGTGTATGCTGTAGGTTTACCACCTTTACACACTTAGAGGTACCATCTTATACAATAGTGACCTTGTTAACGTGAGGTACCGACCGGTCTGGCTGTCAATTATAGGAAAGACTCTGTGTCGGACATTTGCGTTGAGCGTTTGTGGAGTTCGGAAGCGCC